GAGAGAGAGAGAGAGAGAGAGAGAGAGAGAGAGAGAGAGAGAGAGAGAGAGAGAGAGGGAGGGAGGGAGGGAGATGAAAAGAAGGAAAGGAAAGGAAGGGAAGGAAGGGAAGGGAAAGGAAGGGAAAGGAAGGGAAGGAAGGGAAGGAAGGGAAGGAAGCAAGGAAGGATAAGGAAGGGAAGGAAGCAAGGAAGGAAAGAAAGGGAAGGAAGCATGGGATAGAGCGAGGGAGCGAGGGAGCGAGGCAGGGAAGCAGGGAGGCAGGGAGGGCAGGGAGGGCAGGTAGGGCAGGATGAGGGGGAGGGAGGGAGTGACGGAAGGGAGTGAGTGAAATCAGTGAATGAAATGAGTGCATGAATGAGATGAGATGAATGGATGAATGTTAATAAATCAACCAATTAGTGCTAATCAGATGAGCAGATCAAAAATCATTTCTCGTTCTGGTCTGCTCCAATACCAAACTGTTGCCATGAATCACCAATGTGATGAGAAACAACAATGCCAAAGCAGACTGAAAAAAGCAATCTGACTCATCAGACTCAAGACTTCGACTGTACAAACATCATCAACATGTAGACGTTCAACGAGGCGATCATACATGGAGGAAAGGTCCCTCCTTGCGCAAAACACACATAGGGAGAAATCAACAGGTCATGGAGGTAGGAGGAGACGAAGTGTGGAACGAAAAAGAAGAGAGTGACTACTCAATGCAACTGCCGAACAATTATAATAGTCTCTCATGAAATCCCACAGTTGCCACCCGAACAATATCGACTCTGAAGGGTCGGCCTTAAATCCAGGACCTGCTACAGCTCAAGACATCATCTTTCAGTGGTCAGTATCTGGTGACATCAGAGAGAGAGAGAGAAGAGAGAACTGAGTGCTGGCCCAGCTATATACAGTTGGGCCTACTGGAAATCCCTTTCGCCTGCATCTGGGGCCTTCTGGTCTAATGTGCGATCACTGGTCCTAGATGAAGGGCCAAGTCCTGGTATAGTCACTGGGCCTAAGAATGGCCAGCTTGGGTCCCTAGTGGACGTCCACACATCCCTGCCAAAGCAGCAGGGCAAGTCCCCAAAGGACAAGGGCTGGACAAGTCACTTCATGCCTAACTTGATCCAGCCCATTCATGGATAAAAGTCTGGTGGGCGTCAAAATCGCTAAAACGTGAAGACCAGTCAGTCCAAGCACCAGTTCAGACAAAAAAAGTCCACAGTGACATATCCAGGCCAAGCAGAACCTGGAATAGACAAAAAAGTACTCAAACGGAACTGTCCCAACTCCGACAAAAACCAGAACAGCCATAAAACCTCAAATGCAGCAAAACCACTTCGCCTAGCACGGCCCCCTGTTGACTTTCTATTTAAAAAAAAAAAAAACTCCGCAAAAGGACAAATGGACTCCATGCTGCCTGTCGGGAGCCACTCAAGACCCCAAACCGTGTCCATGGCCCTAAGGCCGCCCAAAATAACGGTTGTGCGCCTCAGGGCCCTCAAGTCCAAAGTTGGGCCCTTGGGGCCCACATGGAAAGCCTGGGCATGCCACAGATGATTACGATTTGGGGCCAGTACAGGCCTCTGCTTGACAGCAGGCATGCCCATCAGGCGAGGCTTGTTGCATAAAAATTATCTGATATCTGGTCAATATACATAATTGGCAATCACATGGACCATTTATCTTGCATGGTTTCCAAGGAATCACTTGAAGTTCCATATTGAAAGAGAAGGGTTGGAAAGGAGTTGGATGAAGACGAGAGAAAGTAATCCGTTCATACCTGATAGAATAGCCCGTAGGAGAATGGGAGCCCCAGGACCGAACAAAGCAGCATGATGCCTCCTACGAGAAGCAGATCCCAGTGATAAACCGTCGGTTTTTGAAGATTGAAGGAAGGGTTCTTCAATCCAAACAGCAAGATGGGAATGCATGGATGTGGAAAATAGTACGAAGATGATAAAATCATAAAACACAACACCAATGGCACATTGAAACATGTTTTTCTCAGTTAAGTCAATCGCACAAAGTATGGCAACAAAGGTAGTAGCATGGGAAATCTTAGAGGCAACAGATACTGACTGGAGTTGGCATTCCGTAAGTGATAATGGACTTCTCGTTTTCTTTTAAATAGACAGGACAAGACATGCAAATTCAATAGTACTTGATCAACCATGCACTTTCTCAAATGCCTAGAAGCTATGAATTTCGGCAAGTCCAAAAACTCCTGATCTTGAGCTTATTCATACTTTGTGCAATGCTTACCATAAAGTAGTGGCTTTGCAGAATTGAGTAGCTCACCCATTCATTCTCTGCAAGGGAAAGTTTTTAGCGAATCCATCCTTCCTGGAAACTTTGCTGATTCGTTAATGTTTTCTCTCCTTTCATATATGTGAAAGGATTCTGCACGTCTTAGCAGTTCCGGGCCCAGGTCCGAGTCCTACAGTCCCATGTAATAGAGTCTCAACCGTTTGGAGTCCTAGGCCCGTCCGTACAGTAGCGGGTAGGCCCGGTAGGTCTGTAGGAAAGAGGCCCGTAGGTTAGTAGTAAGGTTGGCCCAGTTCAGTAGTTGTCAGTAGGTGTCAGTCTGTCCCAGCTCAGTCCCAGGGAAGTCCGTGAGTACTCCAGATGCGTCGGAAGCAGACGCTGGCTGCCAGGCTGAAGGGCACCAGTCCAGAAAACTAAAAAATCGGGAACTGCAGCAAGTACACAAGGCCAGAATCAGCAGGATGTCGACACAATTTCTTTTGGTGCCTACAGTGGAAGACCTGTTGTGGTCTTGTGCGGTGAAGCATTGAGTGAGGCTGAGCGACAGAGTAGCGTGGTTGACGGCCTGCAGCGACATAGCAGATAGCAAGAGCGAGTGAGGCTGAGGGAAGACATTCAGAGAGTTTGAACGAGGCTTGTGAGAGTACAGTAGGGTAAAGAGAGGAAAAGAGAGGCGTACCTCAGCGGAACTTGGCTGCCATAGCCGCAAGCATGTACATACATGAGATTTGTTGAATACGACTTGAATTTCGAGAAATTCCCAAAGTTTTCTAGTCTTGTGTCAGTGTGCTCTCTTGCGTGTGAGGTTGGATTTGATGAAGGGTGAGTCATGAGTGTGAAGTCGTGCTTGAAGTGTGGAATCATTGACTGGTATCGGAGCAGACTCTCGGTCTCTTCCAAGTGCATGGAGATCCTGCGAGTTAATTGGCCGGTGCGTTGAGGATAAGGCCGACAGGCGACAAAGAAAAAAAAGAAAACAAAAGAGAGGCCGTTGCTTGGTGGCAGCGGGGAAGTGGAGTTGGCGAGGGGAGAGGAAGCGTAGCTGCAGCTGGAGCAAGGAGTGAACATGGAGAAAGTCATCAAGTTAATGGAGGAAAGTGCTTCTTAATCCCAGCATCGCATGTGCTCCTAAAGGAGAAGCTCCGACTGACCTGCTTTGCCTTCTCCTTATTGGTAAAACCGTTTCTCCTCTCCCATGTAGATTGTCTTGTTCCTGTCTGAGCTCCTACAGTCTAGTAGATGTTGGATCTCTGTCTAATCAGTGATTACCTCCGAAGTTCCAGCTCTCATATGGCCCATGCAGTACTCCACCATACAACTCTCTTCATCCCGCCCAGGCCTTGAATTGCAACTACTTGGTCCCAGTACCACATATTGCAGTCCAATCCTCCCCATCGAGCCGCATATTACAGTCCAATCCTCCCCATCACCAAAAGTACTTGGCACTGGAGGGCTCCGGATTTACTCGAACTCCCTCGGCATTATACTCTTTTACTATTCCAAAAGTATAGATAGGTAGGTAGTGGGAAGTATATTGCGTGAAGAGTATAGCTTAGTATTTTAAAAAGAAAAAACAAAGCAAGAGAAGACTTGTTTACTAATTGCTCTCATCTGCTCAAAGGACCATTTTCCTGCTGGAGACAGTAGGTAAATTCTAAGCCATCTCGACTTTGGGCCCCCACTTCACTGCTCACCACTCCAATCCTTTCATCCTCAACAAACTTTCTAAAAATATATGAAATTTATGAGACTAGTCCAGGAATGCACTCCTCCTTGCTGTTCTTTCAAACTTTAGTAGAAAGTTAGAAGCAGATTAAATTGTGGCGAACTTTGGTCTCTTATATTTATCCAGTTTACATGGCAGTTGGGACATCGCCTTTCTCATATTCTGAAAACATTCTTCTCTTTGCCTCTTCCCATTATACTGCACCGGCAACGACATTTGCGACCGAAATCCTCATCCGTGGTCTACACAGGCCAACAGTACCTTCTGCTGATCTGCTCAATCATGGCTGAGCCCATATGGTTCATTATCTCCTCTACCTTAGGTCCTCTGAAACAGCGGACACTCTCATCCAGTCTTTTCGCCCTTAGTAAATCCATTCTAGGTCTCATAGGTTCTTCCGGGTGTCACCCTGGTTTTATGGACATTTTACCATGCAAACCCTAACCTGCAATTCCATTCAGAATATGGCTCGCCTGAGGACTGCCCCTTTTGCGCCTCGGTCACCTACAGGACCTTATGAGAATGATAAACTTTGCCCTGAAAACGATCTTGATGATAGAATAAGTTTACCTGTACTGCAGCAGCAGCTACTGTATGATCGACAAATATAAGCAGTGCAAGGAAGAAGCCAGGAACAGAGGCCATTACAATCTTTCCCACAGGGACGGAGCTAATCTTCACAAATGATCCCAGCTTTCGCTCTCCATCTAGGAAGCCAACACGTTGCGGCACACCAACATTTGGCAGTCCAATCTTTGAAAGTCGAGGAGCATATGACAAACCTGCATTACAGAACAGTAGAATCATGACCACCCTGGATGAGAATCGGAGCCAGGAAATCCCTTGGCTCTTGCCCAAGAAATGGCCTTGATACAACATCATCTCATCTCCAATAGCCCTTGAAAGACTCCTTCCATGACCTCATGGTGATGCTCACTACAACGTGTATGGATGAACGGATAATTTTGTGAAACCACTGAAACGTCTAAAAACTGCAACCACGCAATGCATGAGAATCACAACCTCTAGCATCACCAGATGAATTCGAAGTCTGGAATGGTTCCTTCCATGCACACGCAATGCATGAAAAACACAACCTCTAGCATCACCAAATGAATCCGAAGTCTGGAACGATTCCTTCCACGACCTCATGGTCATGCTCACTACAACGTGTACGGATGAACAGATAAGTTTCAGAAAACATCTACACTGCAACCATGCAATGCATGAAAAATACCTCTAGCATCACCAGAAGAATCCGAACTCTCTTAGTAAACAGCTCTACTGAACGCAACAACACATCAGCAACACAGCTAATGGTGTTCTAACTCAATGGGAACATACCTCAGATGGCCCGGTTTCCACAGACCCTCTACTTACAAGATGTCTGCCTGACTTGATCCATGTAGGTAATGTCCACTTGCATGCTATGCAATGACTTCGAATCTTCATTTATCCCTCAAACCATCCATGCATTCCGTGACACTAAGATTCTCTCAGCTGGCCAACACAGCTATCTCCCAAATAGCAAATGCACTTGACCTGACACAGCAGGTGAGTTGCTTATCCTTCTTCAACTCTGTGCTCAAAGGCTTTTGACATGTCACATTCATATTTGAACCATTGCATGCACTGACATACTAAGAGTCATCCCAACCCACATGGAAGCTGTGAACAGTAGGAATCGTTGCTCAGACGGTCATCAAGGTTGCAGGAGAGGAGCTGAGAAGGGATATGAGATCAGCGACGCAATGCAAACAGGGAGGAGGAGAGACGCATTTGGAGCCTGAGTAGGGGCTATCAGTAAAAAGAACTATATTCTTCCCCCAAACATAAGGCATGTGCGAATACAGCACATACCATGCATTGTATTCGTTTAATTCGCATGCGTTTTATTCAAGTGACGAGAGCAACTGTACCGACACAAGGGGGTCGGGTCCAGGCTGAGTAGTCTCACTTCTGGACTGTGGCGGAGGGCCTCGGAGGACTGAAATAAAATGGACAACAATGTCTCATTGTACCTTTCCATGTTCTGGCCGACGATTCACTCCTTTTCCTTACTTGGGGTCTCGCTCCATTCCTCAGCAAATGTGCAAAATGAGAACGAATCTTCCACTACAACATGGAAAGATACAACCCTGAGCTTTCCGTATTTTTTGCTCTTGGTGAGTAGTGGAGTGAGCCCTGGTGAGTGGTGGAGTGAGGCGCGTCATATCAGGCCTGGCATCAGGCTCCACTTTCTTGGCCGCACTGCCACTTTCTTGGCTGTCAGACAGGACGGTGCGCAAAGGGCATGTTTACACAGAGACAGCGAGAGAGAGGGAGCGAGAGAGAGAGAGAGAGACAGAG